TCGAGGATGCAGCCAAAGATATATTGGAATCTAGAAGAATTGATGATAAGAGACAACATGAATATGATGAGGCAGATAGAACTGTCGACCGCATGCTGCAAAGAATTAAAAGACGTCAAGAAGAAGAAGATGAAGACGATATGGATTTCGTGCAGGATCAGCAACCTGAAAACGATATTGAGATGGATATCGATGATGAAGAATTAAAAGATATGATTGATGAAGTATCCCTTGAGTTGGATAGATTAAGCCAACCCATTGAAGTAGAAATAATGTTCAGCGTTGAAGATGAAGACGATGACAATGAGAGTGAATATGATGCGGAAGAAATAGAAGAACTGCAAGAAGCAGAAGACGAACCGCAAGTATATCCTGACAAGGAAGATGATGTTCGTGCAGGAGTGAGATTTGAAGAAGTCCCCGTGTTGAGTACAACAGATGATTCAAATAAAGACATAAAAAGGAGAACACAAAGTGGACGATCATTTTATTCAAATGGAGTCAAGTATTGACCCACAGATAGGAATCGAACTGACAGACCAAGATATGGACAAACGTACTTACAACGAAAGAAGCCCAAGATTAATTTGTTAAAGAACAGGAGTGCCATGAGAAAGAAGGCACGGTTGAAGAGATTGCGTATCTCATCATACCAGGCTATCGCGTCAAAGGTAAAATCACGAAAGAAAGGAGAGTTTCGAGATGACAACGTGTTGAGCGCTGAAACAAGAAGAAAGATAACCGAACGGGCGCATAACTTAATGTTCCAGCAGAGTGGAACTGAGAAGAAAGCGACTTACAATGTGGATGAGTCGTTGGTTATTTCACGTGTCATGCAACAGATTCGTGACGAAGTGTACACAAGGGATGGAGTGTCATTTATTCAGCAGTATTATCTTAACAAAGGATTGAAAATTTTCAAAGAACGAGGAAAAGAAGCTGCGCTCAAGGAACTTGATCAACTGATCAAACGAAGTTGTTGGACACCCATCAGTATTGGTGAATTGACTGAGTCCGAGAAGAGGAAAGCAGTCGATGCAATGATGTTACTGGCAGAGAAAAACAGTGGTGATATCAAAGGTCGTTTTGTATATAAAGGAAATGAGACAAGAGACTGGCTGTCTTGAGAGGACACAGCTAGCCCGACCGCATCGCATGAAGGTATCTGTTGCACAGGAGTGATTGACGCGCACGAAGGTAGATGCATGATGTCAATGGACATTCCAAACGCATTCATTCAGACCTTGATGCCAGATTTAGGTGATGGAGAAGATCGGGTGATCATGAAGGTAACTGGACTGATGGTCCAATATATGATCGATTTGGACCCGACCTATCGCGATTATGTTGTTTATGAGAATGGCAAGAGAGTGATCTATGTTGTGATCCTTTGTGCCATATATGGGATGTTGCAGGCCTTGTTGCTGTGGTATCGAAATCTGAGAGCTTCTCTAGAGGAGTATGGCTTTGTTTTTAATCGATATGATCCCTGCATTGCCAACAGAATGGTTAATGGCAAACAATTGACAATCAGGTTCCATGTTGATGACGTTTTGGCGAGTCACATGGAACAACAAGTACTTGAAGATTTTTTCACATGGGTGAATGAGAAATATGGTGGCTTAAAGGAGGTCACATGCACTAGAGGTAAAGTTCATACTTATTTGGGTATGACATTGGATTTTTCAAAGAAAGGAAAAATGAAAATTCGCATGGATGATTATGTGGATCGCATGCTGAGTGAGTTTCCAGTCAAGTTTAAGGACAATGAGGTCCAGGAGACACCAGCCGGAAATAATCTACTGGAGAAAGGTAAAGGGGCACCGCTTGAGAAGGAACGGCATGAAGTGTTCCATTCGTTTGTTGCCAAATCGTTATTTTTGTCAAAACGTGCTCGTCTGGACATCAGTCCGACAGTATCAATTTTAGCATCAAGGGTACAATCTCCGAATCTGGGTGATTGGCACAAACTAGTTCGATTGATGAGATACATTCATTCTACGAAAGGATGGCATCTGACATTGAGCGCTGATGATTTGCGCGTGATTAAGTGGTATGTCGATGCATCATTTGCTGTTCATCCAGACTTCAAAAGTCATACTGGAGCTGTGATGACAATGGGCACTGGAGCAGTGCAAGCAATTATACGAAAGCAGAAATTGAATTGTGACAGCAGTACACATGCTGAACTTATTGGAGTCCATGATGCGATGTCAAATATTTTGTGGACCCACTTATTTATGGAAGAACAAGGTTACCCAATCGAGAAGAATATACTATACCAAGATAACAAGAGTTCGATCCTACTTGAAACGAATGGGAGATCGAGCGCAGGCAAAAGGAGCCGTGCGCTAAATATTTGGTATTTCTTTGTGACAGATCAAGTCGAATTGGGCAACATTACTATTGAACACATGCCAACTGATGAAATGTGGGCAGATTACATGACAAAGCCTTTACAGGGCGAAAAGTTTCGCAAGTTCCGGGCTGTAATTCAAGGTGACCAGGATTAGTCCTGATGAACAATCTTGACTATTTTACTTATATTGAGAAGTAATTTTTTCGTTCCATCCACTGGAGTTGCTGGTGAAACGACAGGAGTGTGTTGGAGGTATTGATATATTGAGCAATCATATTGGTCGATTATTGATCAATGGTCTATGTGACGTGACGCGGCAGTGACGTGAGTGTCGAACGTGCGTAATATGAAACGCAGTATGTCAGAACGCGTCATCACGTAGAAAGGTGATCAAGAATGAGAATCGTGAGAATTTATAAGATGATTTTGAACTGCAATCGAGAGTCTCACTATCGATTGAGTTCTGGCAAGAATAGTATTGTGGACGTTGAGGTCCAAACGAGTATAGGAGATAATAAAGTAAGACCTTTGATTGAATAAGACTACTACTTATTCCAGAGGCTGAGGCCCAGAGTCGCTGGTGCCCAAAGGCAGACCATAGCCGACGTAGATTCGATCTCAGGGATTGCTCATTGAAACAGACAGGGCGTTGAGGCACCCATTCAGGTCTGCTTATTCCAGAGGCTGAGGCCCAGAGTCGCTGGTGCCCAAAGGCAGACCATAGCCGACGTAGATTCGATCTCAGGGATTGCTCATTGAAACAGACAGGGCGTTGAGGCACCCATTCAGGTCTGTAGAGCAAGTCCATCTGACATGGGATATGACGAAATATGAGTTTTTACATTCCAAAAGAAACTATTCAAGTACAAGGTTTTCGACACGTGCGATCGGACTTTGATCGTGATGTCGGGATTTGACGCAAGTCTGCCGGACGCAAGTCTGTCGGACAATCTATATCCACACAAAAAGGAAAAGATCCTGTACAAGTGGAATATTGATGTTGTGTACAATGCAGTAGGGAATAATGCAAGATGTCCCAAAGTACTGCATTCAACACAGAATTGTCATAGAAGTCGGATCGAGTTCTGTAAACAAGGGATTTTCCAAGGGAAAGTCGTTGAACTCACTTTTGTGATTGAATCATCAATTCAAGCCAAACATTAATCAAATAGGAACAATTTCACTCAAAGTATACCTAGACACAGGAGAACTATTGTCGTGAAAGTGTTGTACAATCGATTACGAATTTAGATTGCAGAGAGTTTGTTCTGAGCGCTAAAGGCACTCACAATAGAGCACATTTTGCTTTATTCTAACAATGGTTTTCCACAGACCAAAATATTCCCATTCTGTATCAACAGTAGTTGTCATAAATTTCTTGATCCGCATCAATAACTCCACAGGATCATTGAATAGTTTGTTATCAAAGTCAGCTTCTCGCTCAAGCTTGTCCACCATGTGATCGGTGCACATTTTCATAATCATTCCATGAACATTGCGTTTATTGTTATCAAACGCGATCTTCCTGGCCTTTCAATCCTTTTGATCAGCCAAATAATTAGTTCTTCTTTCTTCATTCTTTATCTCCTTATCAGGATCGCTGTCATTAGTTACCAATACCAATGTCGGCTTCACACTTTCAATATCAAACAAATTCATCGTTCGCACACTCTGAATCATGTCATCAATATGATCCATCTTCATAGTTGACATTTTGAGCACCAATGTCTTCTTTACTTCATCAAAGCTAAATTCGGGAATGTTTTCTCTAGTCAGAGGATGAAACTTCTTCTCTTTTTGGCTACCATTGCCACTCTTATTTCCATTGTATTGACCATTACCTCGGCCTTGCTGCGAACTGTTTTGTCCAGCATTTCTTCCATTGGAACCACGTCCAGAATTCTGAAATCTTCCACTCATCATGGGCAACTATTATTTCAAGTCGTAGGAATATATCGACCCCCGATTCAATTCAGTGACTTTTTATAATATATGTTAGAAGTAAGCGAACCACTGCCACCTGCAACTACCTGTTCAATTGACTGCAATTTAGCTGTCCAGGTATTGTTGCCTTCTAAGTATGTGAATTTACAGTATATAGAAGTATATAGATCAATCAGAGATCCTACTTTATCAACCGATTCACTCGTTGCTTGTGATATATTATAAAAAGTGAGAACAATCTGTCAACTTTTGACTTTGACTCTTTCTTCTCCAGCTCAATGGAAATTCTCAGAATTCTCTCTTCCTCAGCCTAATAAGCTGCAAGTTCAATTTGTTTATCCGTTCACCTTCCACTGTAGTCGGTACTTTGATTAGTATCCAACTTTGACTCTTGCTTGAATCTTGCTTCCTTACATCATCAACAGGATGATTTCCATAGAAATATAATCCGTTTTCTGACTTGCCACGCTTGATGTTTTTAGTCGCATCAGTTGGATTTCGGTTCTGGCGGACATCAGACAAGCGACAGGCTTGTCGTCGTCCAAACCAATTGACAACTTTGTGGCCCATAAAGCCATCATTGCCAACCAGCTGTGCCAATATGCGACCCATCAAGTCGTCATGCAGAGGCACCGACCATAGCGATCTCCGATCCGCCTAATAGGAAATAATCATCTCTACAGGAAATAACTATTCTAAAAGACTTGGTATCTACATGGAATGGGCAAAACAAAAGCCTTGCACAAAACCTCAAATTTCCCAAACCTTTACTGGATGTTTGCAATCCAGAAAGGCCGGTACAAAACCCACGTACAGAACTCCGCCAGAACCGAAATCCAACTGCATCAGTCTTCATTTTTAGTCGTATCAGTCGAGATCATTTCTCTATCGCATGCATTCTCTTTTTTTTGTTTCTCCAAATATGTACTTCAAAAATCCTAATATATCCAACACACTCCTGCCGTTTCATTAACATAGTTGATGACAACGGAACATCAAAGGAAATTGCGTTGCTCCTAATCTTGTTCTCCTTGGATC